CGCGGGCGCGTCCGCCGGCGCGGCCGACCCGCGCGAGGGGTAGGGAGCGGCCGGGCGGGGTTGGCCTTAGCGCTTCATGGGCCAGCCCCAACCGTTCAGATCCCGTAGAGTTTTACAGGCGTCAAGAACCTCGGCGCTCACAAAGGTGTGATCGTAGAGCCACCATTCTGGTTGCAAGAGCAAACTGATGTGATCCGATGAGATCCATGCTGCAAAGAGCCCGGCTCACACCCCGCACATGCAGCAACTGCGCGCAATTCGAAGCTACATACTATGCTCCTCGCCCCTCACCACCGCCCCTCACGGCGCGCCGCCTGGAGAATAGACCCCTAAACACCCACCGCGGCACCGGCGGCCGCCGTGAGGTTCTTGGCCTTGAAGAGTTTCTCTCCCAGATCGCCCTCCAAGCGCACCTGGCTCTGACGTCCCACCCAGACAAAGGCCTCCTGTTCGTCAAGCTTGGGTGTGGGCCGTCTATAGAAGGCGGTGGGAAGAGGGAGCCTAAGCGGGCAGCTATTTAAGCCCCAAAAACGCCGGTGGCTCGGTGGCTCCCCAAAAAAACCTGAGCTGCTGGGGGGGGGAAGTCGCCTCCCTCACGCACCGTTTCTGTGCCAAAGCAGATCCTCCGAGCGTCCAAAACGCCTCGTTTCTGTGGGCCCTTCGGGTGCGTAGGTCCAATGAATCTCGTGGACCGCGCCCCGTTCCCGCGCCTGCCAACGATCCCCATGGAACTTGACCAGCACGCCCATCACGCCTGGTGTGAGGAGTCTCCCATGCAACCCCAACAAGAAACCTACACCCCCATTCTGATAGAAAAGCAAAACCCCTTTAAAAAGGTGGACACCGTGCCACTATGCATTTGGGGACCACTTCTTGGTGCATCCAATGGGCCGCGCACTTTTTGCAGATTGAAGTCCATCTGTTCCGTGAATCCAAGGTCAACTCTGGTTTCATGCCATGGCCCTCGGATGCTTTATGGGGGCGTGCAGCGGACAACGCGGTGAAGCTTGAAGTGCTGTACTTCAGCTGCTCTTGGAGGCCTTGCGACTTAGTGTGACGCTTTATAGTATTACTCCCTGTGGTTGGTGGATGTTGGTGGTACACCTAGCAAGGTGGTCTCAAGGAGAGTCTTTCAGCAGGTGCATCCTCACGCTTAGTGGCTTAGTGCTGCACCCCGGCGCGAAGACAGAAGATTTCACAAATCCCGAGGGGCGGGCTACATGCAGATGTGCATGCAGTGCCAGTCATCTAAGGATGTTGTAGGTTGCAGGACCTCTTAGTATTCTTCCAGGCTAACTCGGTTCGAGTTCTGCGGCTTCCACAGGCAAGCTCTCATTTGAATCCAATAATCCTTCAATCACTTCTCCAGACCGCAGCTGTCACGTGACCTATATAGTCCGAGACAGCAAGACTGCCGTGCCTCAAGCTCCAGCACAAGGTCATTTACCACCTTGGGATCTTAGAGTCCTCTCACTCCATCCTGTCACCTCACACTCTCCAACAGTACCCAACTCCCCACCCACACTCCCCACACTTACCCCGCCGTTCAAGTGCTGCTGCTGCTGAAGCCCGGCGATCCGCACACGCTGCCCCACCGCCCAGCCACCAGCCGCCGCGTCGGCCTCCGCTGCGGCCGCCTCGAGCCGCTGCTGCGGCCGCAAGCCACCCAGCCCGGCGCCAGCACCGGGCGCGGGGGGCGCGGTGTGCGGCCTGGGAGAATGAGGGTGGGGCACCCCGTATAGACTTGTTTGTTTTCCTTTTGTTTGGGGGGGGGTCACCACTGAGTGGCTGAGGATGTTCACATGTCATCACATGATGTCCATGTGTTCACGGATGGTCAGCATGGCAAGAATCCCCTCCCCTGCGCCCGCAGCTACGATCCGGGATCTCAGAGATCCTGCGTGAAAGGGTCGACCTTGTCTCGCCAAACCATTTTTATGGAAAACCCCTCCCAACAAACAAAACATTCAAGTGGAGAAACACATGTGTTTGCAAAAGATGGACGTCTTCCAAAAGCCTTTGTTCCACTTCCTCATGTTTTTGTGCCTTCAAGAAGGTATACGGACCCCGATAACGGTCCGCTCATGGTCCGCACCTGACCTGATGGTCTCTCTGCTGCGCCCTAACTGCTCGGAACCCTATCCCACACTTTAAAAACCTAACTATACTCCAACCTACCATTGAAAAGAAGAACAAAGAACCACTCCCCCACTTGCCCCCCCCCCGTCCAGGTAGGCCCAAAGCACGGCGCCAGCGGCGCGGGCCTCGCCGCCGCGCCCGGCGTCCCCACGTTCGCAGAGAAGCTGTGCACCCCGCCGCTCCGCCTGACGCGCCGGGTCTCAGGCCTCCACCGCCCCCCAGCGGCCGAAAGGCGGAAGAGTCACCAACACCCAGCCACTCACCAGCGCAGTAGACCCCCCTTTCTTTTCAGAAACGGAACCTCAAGGACTCAGCGCCATCATGGAAGTGCAACAGTTCCGCTGGAAGAGCATGAATTCCTCAAGACAAGGAGCGTTTAACTGGCTACTCGGATTCCATGAACCTGCAGAGCTTTTTCCAGCGCAAGAGCCTACTATCCATATGCACCACTAATTAAAGGTTTCTCAAGGTTTCAGGCTTCTCAAGGTTTTTGGACACATGGGACGAGCCGCCCCCTCCCCAAGCCATCACGAGCCGCCCATCTCGCCAGGTGTTCCCCACGGTGGTGTTCCGCGCGTTTCTTGGCGGGGAGGTTGCGGTTACCTGTAAGTGACCTTATAGGACCCTACCGGTGTATTTATGGATTGTTTCTAGGGGGTCTTCAACCTCTGTTGGCTCTTTGGAAGAAACATTCACAGCGCGTTCCTAAACGTTAGTCTTGGCGCCAAAGGACCGGGGAAAGAATCAGGGAAGAAAGAAAGGAAAAGGAAAAGGAAATGAAAAAAGAGAAAAGAAGCAACCAGCAGTCACGTTCGACGGGGTGCTATCCATGGAGGTAGTCACATCCACGGCCACTGGATGGGACGAGCCACACCACCCAGGCCCTCCATGCGACTCCTGGACGTCGAGTCCAGAACCATGTTGACCGTCGCGGGGCATCGACGTCGTCGCGGGGCCCCACATCAGCCCGAAATCGTCCCACGTCCCATGTCTCTAAAGGACCACCGGCTTCCAGCAGCCCCTGCCCCTCCAACCAGTCACATTCCGCCACGTCCTCCGGCCACATCCACATCCACTCGCCTCTGCCCTGGCCGGACCTCTTGTCGTTCGCTCCGCTCCCATGCAAAGCGCTTGGGCGGCGCCTCCTCCCGCGCCTCGCGGAAGACGGGCGGAGGAGGTTCCTCGCGCCGAACCGGCTTCTCTTCGTGGGCAGCCGCGGAACTCCGGAAGGCCTGGCACGGTGACTCTCAACAAGATCTGTGTGTTGACTCGTCCTGAACACCCCTCCGCCCAGCCCTGCCCAGCCCTGCCCAGGCCCCCGCACCCCCGCCTCGATGAATTCCTCCTCCGCGCTGAGCTTCGACGTGCGCCCCGTGGCGTCGTACTTCGCCCGGGCCTTCGAGTCGCTCAGCACCTGCGCGACGCCACCGACCCCTGAACGGCCGCCTTTTCGCCGTGAGCAGAGGATCATGACAGAGCACCACTTTCAGGATACCTTTCCAACAGCACTTCCAAGCACTTATTTTTTGGTGCTCCTTCGAGCGACCGCTCATCTTCTTAAGACCCCCGGAACCCCCACACCAGCCCACACATTGATGGCTTTTTACTATACGTACTAATATTACTTGGTTGTTTCATAGAGAGGATGCCTCCGGTCGTGTGCAACCAAGTTCGGTCAATCGTACCTGGCACCGACCCCTCTACTCTTCCCAATAGAAAACAGGTGATAAAAGGGGCAAATGCCAGAGCCCAACCCGTGCCTTTTCGGGCCCCTTCTTGGTCCAACCCCTCCTTGGGTCTCCGCAGCCTCCCCCCACAGAACGACCACCCACGGCTCTTTGGGTCGCCCACAGCCCACGGCGACCACCCCCCACACACGGCGTCGCGCGTCTCGCGTCGCGCGTCTCGCGCTGAAGCCAGCCTCGTAGGCCTTGCTGACCCGCGCGAAGTCCTCCGGGTCACCGCCGCGGTCCGGGTGCTTCGCCAGCGCCAGCTTCCGGTAGGCCTCGAAAAGGATGGATGGGAGCGATCCGCAAAACGGTGTCAACCCGGTGGAAACGGAATAAACAAAGCATGGGCAGGGCTGGAGATGCCACCAGGAGTCACAAGTGGGGGTGGTGCTTAGTGAGTGGATGTGATAGGGGTACCCCTAACCCTAACCTCCATGGATAGCACCCCGTCTTGTGACTGCTGGAATGTTTATAAATATCTACCAGCACCCGGACTTATTACCCGTCTCCGACCTGGAGGCTTTTGCTGACCTAAAAGTCGCAGACCTGGTGGAAGGTGCTGGTATATTTATATATATATATATATACGAAGAATCTGTTCAATATTGACCCGGAGTCCACCAGAGTGTTTTTGTATTTTTTTGGACGGGTGCACCATGGGACAGGTTGGAAACACACACATCCCAAGAGAATATTGTTGTGCACGCGCATGTGTGTCCCAGCATTCTTCA